GAGAAAGATGATATTGCATGAAAGCAAATTTTCACATGTTCTAGAGAAACAATTGTCATCACAAACATCAACATAATACTCGAAGCTCAGGTTTACGGTTTGTGAGGAACTTGAGGAAAAATAGCGACAAAAGTAGGAAATGGTTATTAAACGAAATTGGCAACATATGATTTGACAAAATATTATCACGACGATGCCAAGCCCAAATACATTACTGGAAATAGCTTCCAAGCATGGACGCATAAATGCAGCTGAACCGTACATTAATTTACTGGATTATCCATGGTGTAGTCTACCTTACATGTGAAGAAAATCTACCAGATGGTGCAAAACCAGGGCTACAACATTAATTCAAGTCAATACAGCTCATCAAGTTACTTCTTCGCATATGTGATGCGCATTGGGTTCTCTTTGATTTTGAAACCCTGAAGAAGGTTCATGGCTGCGGTCGCCTGCCCCTCGTCTCCATACTCCACGAAAGCGATACCAGGCTTTGCTTCGATCATCCGCACTTCCTTGAACCCAGGGTACTGGCAGAAGAACATCTGCAGCATCAAAGCCGTTGCATCGTGTGGGAGTTCTTGGACGAAGAGAATGTTGTTTGGTACAATAATCTCTGGCATCATGACCTTCGGTCCCGCACCAAAAGGTAGCTGAGAGAGCTGCACAAGAAAAGTCAAGCCAGTAATGATGTGAAGAAACTAGTTACAGAATAAACGTGAAAAGATGCCCAGCCCTAGTACTGGGCGTATATATGATAGTAAGCGAACTTTGCACTAAGTCTGAGTCATGACTCATGACTATTCCCTGCTAAATCTCAAGCTATTTCTCGAAGCAAAGTGAATCGCCTTAATATGTTGAATGCCAATTTTACTTGACCTAATTATGCAAGCAGGAATCACTGGCTTGCACAGACAGACAAACTCCATCCCCAAAATATAATGACAAAACAGCAGGTAGGATGTCTGGCAAAGAAGTTAAAATTAGGAAACTGTGCATGTGAACGCAAAGCAAAGAAGATTGGAGCTTGGATAACATGGTCACGATAACATATTCCACCGTTCATATGCAACAACAAAAACCCCTACGCAACAGAATATGAATAAATAACAACATTTCTAATCAATTGTACAGCACTTACCGGCGGAGCCCCATAAGCACCAGGATAGGCATGCATGCCCACGCCAGCCTGGTTAACATCGTGGTGCTGCTCACGCTTCTGCTTCTTTTCAGCTGCATTATCAAAGAATAAGGCAAACCAAGTTTTGCTCGTGAATTTAAAAGGATGCCAAGTTGCCATTAAGCTCGTATAAAAACCAGTAAAACAAGTACTCCCTCCGTCCCAAAATAAGTGTCTTGAGCTTAGTACAAATTTATACTAGAGCTAGTACAAAGTTGAGACACTTATTTTGGGACGGAGGGAGTACCTCCCAGTACAAAGCAACTCTATCAACAAAGAGTCAAAGTGTGTAAAGCTAAATACAGTGAATTGAACAGATATCTGATATTTAGACCTGGCGACGACTGCTTTACTGATCTTTTGCTTCTATTCAAATTAATACTGGTACTCTTGTAGAAGTAACAGTAAGTGCAAGAACAGAGTAAAACATGATCACGCAAAGGAACATTCAGAAATTTTAGTTTTCATAATCTGGAATTCTTTAGGCGAATGAGTGTATCTATTGAGCTTAGTTGCAAAATCTGCATACACCACCTAAAAAAATGTTTAAATGGGGGACTGAAGACTGGAATCAAGGACCACAAAAGGTCTGATTCTTGCTGTTTTAAACATTTTAGCAGTAATGTATGCCCGACTACATGTGCAGAGGAAAAGTGAGAACTATGATAATGTATTAGTAGTGACACCAATACCTCCTCAAGTCAATTTATTAACCTGTTAAAACAACAATCCATGGCTACGTGCAAGAGAGTCCATCTCCAGCACATCTTTCAGTTAAGTTTTACGAAATATATGCTAACAAACGACAAGCCACGTATCGAAACAAAATAAAGAAGTGCAAATCAATAGAGTTCCGAGGGGCCAAAGTAAAACCGCAAACGTAAAGGCATGCACATTAACCGGAATCTTACGTTTCTCATCATTCCTCTTCCTTTTTTCTCGGGGTACAAAGGTGCCATCAGCTTTTGCTATAACATCTGACTTGGTCTTGGCATATTGAATTTTCTGAAATCAAATAGACAATATTTTATGAGTGATAAAATAGTACAGCTTCAGAAGTCAAAATGTAATGCAAAGGAGCAGATGAAAGAACATATATGCATGTGTATGGCAGTTAGTCAAGCAATTTGAACAACTCAAGTGTAGTTTGGTATTGACTAGATATGCCCAGTAAGAGACCTAGTGTATACAAATAATATACTCCCTCTGTATCAAAATATAAGATGTTTTTTGACACTAAGCAGAACAAGTTTATATTTTGGTACGGAGGGAGTATCATCTAAGCACAAACAAGCTAGATTATAGACCACCTAGGCAGTATGTTGTTTAGAACAAACCTTGCTTCAATAGAAAGAATTGAATAAGCTTAAATGCTAGACTATATTAGAGAAACCATAATATTATGACATAATTGCAAGCAGTACAGATGCTCTTTTTTCTGTTGAGATGGTATTCATAAACCCAATATGCTTGCCTAACAACACTACAAACAACAGGATATAGTAACATATCTCAAAAAAGAAAAATAGGATATAGTAACAATCAGATCAGATCAAATTACGGGACAATCAAAGCTGTAACACCAATTCAGGCTCTAAACTCACCATGGGTTTGTCATAGAAGGGAAAATCTTGCATCCTCTTCAAAGCCTCAGTTGCTGATGCAACATCTTCGAACACAACCCATGCTTGCCCTTTATGCTTCAAAGTCTTAAAAGCAAGCACCTCAATGATTTTCCCAAACTGGGAGAAAACGGCATTGAGGGACTTCTTAAGCGCTGTAAAGAATTCAGCAAATTATATTAGCCAGACGCATCGGTTCCAAAAAGTAAAACTAAATAAGGCTTAACAGAAATATGTAAAGACTTCTAAATTTAGAGATGCAGTACAGGGTGTGCAATTGCTGTTTTTGTTCGGTAAACCGGAGAATGTAATCTTACTTTCATGACCCAGATTCGACTCTATTAGCTCGGTACATCAAACAAAGAGGACTATCCTCGGATTAAGCAGACCACCAGATCTCTAACACCAGCACACGCTAAACCGCTAATCCGCGAGATATCTGCGGCGCTCGTCCCTGAGAAAACGACCACCTCCGCCGGAAACCAGCCGGGAATTTCGATAGCGGGTGCCAATGTGACTGACAGAACGGCCTATAGGGTTTTAGGTCCTGAAGACGCACCGAGATTTCCAGCGGGCCACCGCAGAGGAGCAACGGGGAACCAGAGGTAGCGAATACATTACCCGGAAAGAAGAAATCCGCGAGAATCTACCTAGGGTTTAGACAGGGGGGCGCGGAGGAAGGCGAGAGGGCTCTAGCAGGGGAAAGATACCTTCGAGTTTGATCTTCTCGTTGAGGTTATTGATGTAGATGGTCACGTTCGGCTGTACGCCGTTCGCCTCCCCGCCGCCGCCGGCCGCCGCCTCGCCGCTCATATCCTCGTCGCGCAGCCGCCGCTCGAGAGCCTTCTTCTCTCTCTAGCCTCCGGGCTCCTTCGTGTCCTCTGTCGCCCTCTTTTTTTTCTCGGGTTGGGCCTTCATGTCTTAATCTCGCTTCAAAAGAGGCTTGCCGTCTGGGCTCGTTGGTTCGGCAAACATCAGATCTGGGGGCGCGACTTTTTTTTTTAAGGTTTTTTTTTTCGAGAGTACGCCAAAAGCGTACCTTAGCTTTATAGAAGAAGAGAAGTAATTACAAGAGTGCCGGCCGATGTGCGAACACAGAGGTCGGGGTACAACTCACCCACTCCAACACCCGATTACCTTAGGCTAATTTCTCATGAATCGTTGTAGACCTCCTACTCCTACACCAGCTTGTTTCCACTCGGCGATCTCGTCTAGAATCTGGAATGGAAGCTCGCTCGTTGTTTTCTGCTCGCTGAACCTATTGAAGACCCTAGCATTCCTCTGTTTCCAGAGGGCCCACGCAACCGCCGTCACCAGCGTGCCAAATCCTCTACGGTCCTGCCCTCTGAATCTCTTCCGCACCGTCAGCCACCAGTCTTTGAACTCGTCCGACTCCCCTGGTTCCTGCACCTGGATCGCAATGAGGTTAAATACCTTGTACCACACCTCCCGAGCATACGTGCAGTTTGCCAGAATGTGTTCCACATTGTCAACAGCCTGCAAGCACGTGTAACAGGCCGACGGCTGATCTTGTAAACCGTGTCTTGCCCTCCTGTCGGATGTCCAAACTCTATGCTGAAGGGCGAGCCACATGAACAGCTTGCATTTGAGCGGCGCCCAGCATCTCCAGGTGCACTTGGCCGTGGGCGAGCGAACCAGCTCCGAGCAAAGGTACTCATAGACTGATTTAGCCGTGTATGTGCCTGTCGGTGACCTCGGCCAGGTGAAACTATCAGGCAGCGACGGGTCTCTATCCACCGTACCAAGAGCTTGGCAAAGGTGCATATACTGCATGAGGGCTGTGAATGAGGTGTTATGCTCGAAATCATGCACCCAAGCGCCATCCTCAAGTGCCTGACGCACTGTACGTCTGTTCGTCGTTCTCGTCGGGACAGTGGCCGCTATCAATGGTGCAATCTCTGTCACCGCGACTCCATGGATCCACTTGTCCTTCCAGAAAAGAACCTTGTTGCCCGAGCCCACTTTTATACTGACCAACGCATCAAACACCGCTCTTGCTTCCTCATCCGATGTCATTGGAAGGCCCTGCCATGGTCTTTGGGAGTCAGTCCGCTTTAGCCATTCCCACCGGACCCGAAGCGCCAACGCTTGCCACTTCAGGTTTTTAATGTCTAAACCACCGCAGGACTTTGGCTTACATATGTTGTCCCAGGCTACTAGGCATTGTCCCCCATTACACTTGTCTTTGCCCGCCCAGAAGAATGATCTCATCCATTTGTTCATATCCTCAAGCATCCACTCCGGCGCCTCGGTGACCATGAGGTGGTGAACAGGTCGTGCCGCCACAACCGACTGCACCAGAATTAGCCTACCGGGTCTCTGGATCAGCCCTCTTTGCCAAGCAGGCATGAAGTGTCGTACTTTGTCCAGCATCGGTTGCCATTCTGCTCTAGTCAAGCTCTTTATCGCCAGTTGCAGTCCCAGGTATCGGCAAGGGAACTCAGAGATGTCGCATTGTAGCAATCCGGCCACCCTGGCCCTATCCTCCTCACTACCTCGGATGAGCACAGCCGTGGATTTGCGGTAGTTCACCTTGAGGCCCGACGCGGCTCCAAATGCCCTTAGAATCTCGGTGACAGCCGCCAGGTCGTTCTTAGTGGGTCTAGTAAACATGGCGACATCGTCGGTATAGATGGACAGTCTTTGCGCTGACGAGATTCCGGCAAAGGAGGTAAGAACTCCCACCTCCGTGGCCTTCTACACCAGGGCCGAAAGGGCCTCCATGGCTATCACGAATAGTAGGGGGGAAATTGGGTCCCCTTGCCTTAGGCCACAAGCATGAATGATCTTCCTCCCTGGCACCCCATTGACCACCACCCTGGTACTGGCAGTAAATAGAAGCGCCGCCATCCAGTCCAACCACTTTTGCCCAAAACCTTTTGCTTTCATCACCTCAAACAGGAAAGGCCAGGAGAGAGAATCGAATGCACGGGATATGTCCAGTTTGATGAAGACGCCTGGCGTTTTTCTCGCGTGAATCTTCCTTGCTACTTGGCGCACCAAAAGGAAGTTGTCATGTAGCTGTCGTCCTTTAATGAAGGCTGATTGATTCATCCCAACAAGCTCATGCATTTGCAGCCGAAGACGATTCGCAAGCACCTTGGCAAACAACTTAGGAATGCTGTGTATCAGACTGATAGGTCTATAATCTCCAATTTCTTCAGCCTCTGCTTTCTTTGGGATGAGAATAATGTTGGCCTTGTTCAGCTTAGCAAACCCCCGGACATCTCCCACGAACAGTTTCATCATAACAGCCATGACGTCATGCTTAATTATTTGCCAAGCTTTTTGGAAGAAAGCACCAATGTATCCATCCGGCCCCGGCGCTCGGTCTGGCGGCATAGTCTTGATAGTCTGCCAAACTTCGTCCTCTGTAATCATCTGCTCCAAGCATTGCAGGTCAATGACCTCAAGCCCCAGGTATTGCAAATCAAGGGTGTGCTCTTTGGCTCCAGCAGTCCCCAACAGCCTCTCAAACGCATTTGAGAAAAGCTCTACTTTCCTCTCCTGATCAGTAGCAATCTCCGTGTCCGTCTTGACATGAGCAATAAAATTCTTGGATCTTCTACCATTAGCCACTGCTTGGAACAATTTAGTGTTGGCGTCTCCTTCCTTAATCCAACGAAGTCTGGATCGCTGCCTATCAATGGTACGCTCAAGCGCCGCCATGCCCACCAGAGCATGCTTGAGAGTACGACCAAGCCAAGTCTCAAGAGGGTGCAGAGCGCGGTTTTCTTGCGCGATGTCCAGCCTCTGAATAACCCAATTAGCCACTTTCATCATAAGTTTAACATTGCCGATTTTGCGTTGGCCCCAGGCTTGCAGAGTTTTCGCCGAGTTGCGCAAGAGCGCATCCAACCTCTTGAACGGATCAACAATCGCGTCATCGCATACCCAGGCCTCCCTCACCGCTTACTCAAAGCCTTCTAGCCTCGTCCAGAAAAGCTCAAATCTGAACCTTTTTTTGGGGCAAAACCCCGCGCTCGTGGTGAGATGCAACGGCGCATGATCCGAGACTCCTGTAGACAACGCTTGCAGAAAGTGATCCGCGTTGTCCAGCTCCCAATCAACCGTCATGAGCACTCTATCGATCTTGGTGAGGGTAGGCGAGTCCCTCTCATTAGACCAAGTGTATTTTCTCCCGTGCATGTACATCTCGCGCAAATGATGATCGTCCACAAACTCTCTAAATTTATTCATCATGGTCCTGTTAAGATTGTTGTTACTCTTTTCCGAAGCTCGGAGGATCATGTTGAAGTCGCCTAGGACGAGCCACGCTCCAGGACAGACCACCCGCCTTAACTTAAGTTCCTCCAGGAAGTAGAGTTTCTGCTCATCGCTTTGCGGCCCATAGACCACAGAGATCCACCACGGCTCGCTAGTTTTAGACCGCACACGCCCCGTCAGAAATTTGGTATCGATCTGGATGGCCTCCACCTCCAGGAGCGAGCTCTTCCAAGCTAGAAGCACACCCCCTCTAGTCTCAATAGCCGGCAAGTAAGCAAAACCATCAAACGATGGCCCCAAACATTGCATAACGAGATAGCTATCTATTACATCTAACTTCGTTTCTTGTAGGCAAGCTACATTGACCTCCAGAGAGCTCACAAATTCCCGCACCGCCTTGCGCTTTGCTGGATTGTTCAAACCTCGGACATTCCAGCAGATCACCTGTGGGTGTAAATCCATGAAGAAACACAACCCCCTCTCCGCAGGGCGGCCCCCACTAGGCGCACACCGTGACTGCATTTTGTGCCTCCCTCTCTTCTGCGGTCGGGGTCGCCTTGCCAAAGAGTGCCGCAATGATCCTGACGTGCTGCTCCCGCAGCGGCGAATCAAAGAGCTCCCTGAGCTCGTGTACCACTCCGTCGTCCACCTCCAGATTGTCCGAGGCCATGCCCAAAGCATGGAGCAGAACATTCTCCACCGGCGCATCCCGTGGCCTATTGGTCGCCGTGGTCTTCTTGGATGCCCTGGTGGTCCTTTTTGGCGTGAAAGGCTCCGCTTCTGGCCTGAGTTGAGACGCCTGTATCTCCTTAAGCAGCGGTGGAGCTAGCCGCTTGATGATGTTGGAGCAGAAGGTTTTCAGCTTGCCATATGCGACCGCTTCGTTTGCAGTCATCCCCACCGTTTCACAGCTCTGCGGAGCACAGATTATCGTAGTGCAGTTGTTCCTGATCGACTCCAGGCCCTCTACAGCCGGCTCTTGCTGCGGGACGTGCGGGACGTGCATGCAACGTGCATGGGCATGATTCCCATCTGCCTGGGGCCCCACCAAACTCTCCAGTCGTGTCTCCTCTCCCATGGCGTTGTTTAGTTCAGTCGATTGGCTCAGCTCCACTCTGCCTGGCTGGGTGTGCGCGCTCGGGGTTCGCGCGGCAGAGATCCCACCGAGATCTCGTGTGCCAAGGCCCGATGTAGACACCAGTGCAGTCGGTCTCAATTGGGCCTCGCTGTCACGACCCACCTGGTCTGTACCCTGTCCCTCCGGTCCCACCTGACCTTCCTTGTCGCCCTCCCCCTGGGTCACCGATCGCGCGGCCTGCGTGTCCTGGACCCGCATTTCCAGACCACCAAACCCTGCTCCCGCTGGTGGTTCAGTCTCTACCAGTAGCTGCAGCCGATCCTGTGGGGGCGCCTGTGCGTCGGGATCTGGAGTAACTCCCATCAGAATCCCTCTGCACCACTGATTGGGACACGGGGTAGATGTCACGTGCCCCTCAATCTCCGCACCGCTAACTCTTGTCGTGTCCAACCTCCCGCCGGAATGATTTGAAACCGCGCCTCGGGTG